CATAAAAAATAGCGGCTTCTTTTAAGAAGTCGCTGTTTGTTTGAAGCTTTTCCCTTTGTTTCAAGCTGTTCCCCAGTTAATGCTTCCGCATTATTAATCCAACGTATTTTGAAACCTCTGTCTTTTTAAATCCAGAAATTTACCCTTTCTTGAAGAATTTGGCGTTTTTTGATTAAAAAAGTGGCGGCAGGTCTTCCAGCACTCCCCATGTAAAACAGGACATGATAACCTTTTGCCTTCACCACTGGTGGTGAACAGATCTGCTCAGCTGTGGCAGCAGGAAACAAATTCATGTCAGGAAGTAAAGCAGCTACAGCTGTAGAAGCGGCACTTGGACGTAGTGCCGGTACGCTCTCAATTTGTAAGAGTCGTGAATTCAGCTCGCGCCGCTTGTCCACCATCTGAAAATATACCAAAAAAAATCATCGGTTTGATGCTTACTGGTCATGAAGGAAAAGCTGGGAATTTTCAGTTGCGACTTTGGTAGACGGTAACAGAATTTTACTTTCTGTTGCTTTCGCCAAGTTGGCGTTTGGAAACGCCCAATATTATATCCAGTTTGCAGAACTACTTTTCTGTGATTGGGGAACGTTATAGCTTAAATGGGCGAACGTTACAAGTTAAACGTTCATTGTAGATTCTTGCGCCACTAATTGAAAGTGGCATGCTAGACAGTTTAAAGTTGCCAAATTAAGTGTGTTCATATAACTCCGCCTCATCAGTGAAGTTTTTAGTAATATTTTTAGAGCCCGACTTGACAATTAGACGTGTCAAATATGGATTCTTGTCGTAAGTTTCCGTGCAGTTTGGTCAAGAAAACCCCAGAGCACGTTTGCTATTGGTAGTCGCTAAGCTTAAAAAGTGGAAATTCATTAAGTTAAGTCTGAACTGATTTATCGTTATTTGATAACCTGTGGGTTTTTTATATTATTTAGCATCCGTGTAACAAGAATCCATCGTTCGAGTGCCCAACAAAGACCAAGGGAAAGGAGCAGGTGCTCACTAGCTTGAAGATGCTGTGCAGTGAACCTGTTCAAGATAGCTGTGATCATGCTACATCTGTCTTCTTACTACTGAAGATATACAGTTTCAGTCAGCTTTTATAACACATCGATTTCAATGAAGGTTTCGATTTGCTGCACTGCAAGCTGTCTTAGATAATAGGACTAATTCACTATACATTCAAATAAAAATCGCCGAATGCTCAATAATTTCTGAATTGGAAGACATAATTTCCGACAAGCTTATAGAAATAATTGAGAAGGCCAAAAAGCAATACGACATTTGTTCTCCATAATCAGTGCTTTTGAAAATATCTAACAGAAATCTGAAACAACAGATGGGTTTTGAATCGGTTGCGACTTACTCCAAATGTTTTTTTTGTCGCAGACGGCACTATTTTCATTGCAGAAAACTCGCAAGCGTTATATTATCTGTCAAATGCACAAGCGGTTAGCGCGAAGAAAATTGGACTCCAAATTCCCAGTGGAGAACCACACAAATAAACAATTCACACTGCCCCCATAATTATTTTGGAAATGAAACATTTGAAGTGGCATCCATATACGCATAAATCTCGTGTTGGAAAGCCCTTTGTACAAAACACGTAAAAATGCAGTAAGGCTGGACGGATGGTACTAGTTTTGAGAGAAACAGAAAAAAAAACAAAAAGTTGTCATACGCTTCTGACAAAGAAGAACACGAGCCTTGACTGTGCCACTG